TTTTATCAATAAAAAGACACACGCACTGGAAGAGTAAAACTTAGAATTCAATATGGAAAAAATAAGGATTAAAGTACAAGCAAAAAAAAAGTAACTTTTTTTACAAAGTAAAAACCTAAAATTTCTGGAATTTTCATCAATTTTTTTCTATTTTTAAAATAACGTTTACTACATCCGAAGTAAATTTAAAAAAAATTAAGTTTACTTTAGAAACAGTAGAATTTACTTCGAAAATAGTAAAAATTGACAGAAATGTGGAGAAATTCAGCAGATAATTTAGGCTTTATTATGAGAGTAGTAAAAGTTACTTTATTCCTTATCTCCGTGTATATAATGATAATATATAAATATATAGCAAATAAATTTAATTTCTATCAATTTTACCTATTAATCAGTCATCTTTTTTTAAATATTCAAATTTTGAAAAATTTCGTTATAAAAAAAATTTTACTGAACTGAGTTTACGATAAAAATTTCCTTTATTTACATATTTATATATTACATTAAAATTCTTGTATTCTTATTTTTTCTCTACGTGATATTCACAATTCTCTATTTTACTTGCGTGCAATATAATTTTATTTCCCAAAAATTATTATCCAACATATTAAAATAAAAATAAAATTTTTCGGAAATGAAAATTTTATCGTGTGTGTCTCTCTCTCTCTATTTTTTGTCGAAATAAAATGAATTTCTCAGATCATAAAATAATGCATAAACATAAATTATAAATTATTCATACAAATGAAAAATATATATTTTATTTACAAATATAAAATATAAATTTTTTTTTTTGTAAATAATTTATAAAATACATAACAATTTTTTTTTAATGTGTCCAATAAAACAAAAAAAAAAAACAATGTATTTCATCGTTTTATGCAATTTATTTTCAGTGAAGGTAATAGTCATGAGTTAATAGGCCAATAAAGTCATATTCTCGATTCGATAATAATTTTTGTATAAATATTGACTCATCGATTTGTGTGTCACATTAAATAAAGTGTGACATTTCTCTTATCTTTCATTTATTATATTGTAAATGTCGACTTCTCTCTCTCGTGATCCATCGAATTAATTAAATTCTTATTTTTTTGTTGATTTCTTTTTTATTTATAAAATGAAAAAAAAATCATTTCCCTGTTCATGAAATCATTTTAATTAAAAATTTCTACGCAGTATATTATATCTTCTCTCTCTAACTACGATAAGAAGTTTTAGTTCAAATTTTTATCTGATTTTGTTTGAGTATCATAGAGAGTAAATTTTTCAATTTATTAAGAAAAAAAAATATTTAAAATAAATAATATAGAAATTTAAATAAATAATGATAATAATAGTAATAATATTTTTTTTATTAATTATATTTTTATGAAAATTTTTATAAATATTTCTATAAATATTTTTTTATAAATATTATAAATTACTTTATAGATAATATTTATAAATATTATACATTACTTTATAAATATTATTAATAGTTTATTAGCGAATGATTAAAATTTTCTTGCTTTCAAAAATAGCATTTGAGAATATTTAACTTGAAAAATTCAAAAGAAAAAAAAATTGCATTTTAAACAAAAGTAGTTTTTGAAGTGGGTCGAATGTTATTATATGAATAGCAGAGAATTTGAATTGAGTGACTTTTTATGTAGATTATAGGATTTTCAGTTAAAGGAAATCTGAAGAGCATGAAAGATTATGAGAGATATAGAGGAAGGAAGGGAATTCATTATTCTTATATTCATTACTACCTACTATTCAAACAAAAAAAAAAAAAGAAATTGTAAACTTTCAATTTTTTGCCTCGAATTTAGTATGCTTCGAATGCACGTTTATATAGCTAGCAAAAAAAAAAAACAAACAAACTGCTTTTAAAGTAATTTCATGAACTGCATGAGAAACCCTCACAATTTCTTGAAGAAAAAGAATTTTCATTCTCGTCTAGTCTCTGATGGCTGGATAATAAAATTATCATCTTTTATTTTACTGCAATTTTTCGGAATTTAATTTTTACATTTTATTTATTTGCTTTTTTATTAATATTAATTTTATTTTTTTATTTATATTTTTCTATTAATATAAAAATAATATATTTATTAATATCAAATCAAAAAATTCAATCTTAATTCTCAATAATAAAAATTAATAAAAAATTATTATTTAGTAATTACATTCCATTAGATGTATTTTCTTTTCTTGAAAAAAGATTTTAAATTATTAATTATTTTCAACTTTTCTGTTATTAAAAATGATATTATTTAGTTTACAATTATTTTTACAAAGTTTATGTAATTTATTTCTATTGTTCTCGAAATAAAATGTATTTATTTATATATTTTTAGGTATATACTAATAATTATACTTATATTATAGAGTTTATTATTAAAGTTTTTCTTTATTTATGAATTTTCTATTTTACTATTTATTATTCTTTTTGTAATAATTTTTTTTATGTTTATTATTATATTGTTATTTATTTATTTCTTTCAAGTTATTTATAATACAATTTATAGTTTATTTATACAATAAATATTCATTTTATTAATTCTTTATTTTGTGTCAAATAAAAAAAAAAATTCCGAAAAACTTTCGGCACGTGAAAAAATTTGCATTTAAAAAATCTTTTATAAAAGATTTATCCATTCACTGGTTGCTCGAATCCAAATTTTGATAAAAATAGACTGGAAAATTCGTTTTCAATTGAAAGCAATTAAATGCATTTTTAAAATAGATGCATTTGACTTTAGAGGGTTTCTTTGAAGTTCCCGAAAGCACGGCTGTGGGCTTGCTAAATATTTGGAAAGTCAAATTACTTTTGATACTCAGTAATCAGATTCTTCAATAGCTCAAACAATTCAAGTTTCAAGGAATTAATTTCAAATTCTCTTTTCTTTCACGCGAAACCGTTTTATCCGAAATTAATTACTGTCATCAAAATTTCTAAAAATAGAATATATTGCAGTTTTAGAAAAAAAATATTCGTTTTTTCATATTAAATATTTTTAATATTAAAATATTCGTTTAATATTTAGATATTTATGTAACATTAAAATATTCATTTAATATTAAAGTATTTATTTAATATTAAGATATTTATTTAATATCGAAATATTCATTTATTTTATATTACAATATTTATTTATTTCAATTTAGAAACTAAAAAATAAATAAAATAAATAAATAAACAAAATTGAAGAATTGATATCACACGTAATTTGATTTTCCATTATTATAAGAAAAAAAAATCTAAAAGCAGAAAACTGACTGCTCTCGATATGAAGTATAAATTAGTGGAAATTTATAGTAATAAAAAATAGTGGAGTATTGTTTACAAAATGAATTGGTAAAAATTCAATTTCAAAATTTCAAAATGAATCAATGGAATTTTTCTAAAGTTTCCAAAGTTCAAATAAACGAATTTTTTTAGTAATTTTTTAAATATTCTAAATTTTGCTACAAAATTTACTCAGTGAAATGGAAAATAATTAATTAAATTTAACTATTTAGCAAATTCGACAATTTCACTGAGTTAACTAATTATAATTTCGTTTTTTTAATATACAAAATAATTTTTGTAATAAAATACAAATTAAATAAAATAACAAAAATTTGAACTTTCGAAACTTCAGAAATATTTAAGGATTGACAATTGAAAAATAAAAACTATTACCGAATTGTCATTTTTATTTAGTGTCTCCTAATTATATTCAATCTAAATTATTAAGTATAAATTCTCAATTATAAATTATTAAATATAAATTCTCAATTACAATTAATTATAAATAAATTGTGAATGAATTATAAGTTACATATTAATTATGAAATTGTCACTATATAACATTTTTCATTATTGGAACATTTAGAATATTTTAACGCCTTTATAGAAGCATAAAAATTCGGTAATTAATTTTTTAATTCATTTAAGAGACAATTTCCACTTTTGCTGAATTTCACAAAAACTTAAAATCAGCATTTTTGAAGAAAAAATATTTTTCTATACTATTTTTTGTTAAATTTTCTTTTCCATATTCTTGAATTCATTAAAAAAATTTTATTTAACAATTTCCAGGAAATTCGAAATAAAAAAAATCGTTTTTCTTATAGAAAATATTAAATTTTGAATTTATTTTTTATAGTAAATTTTTTCCCCATCAATGATCGTAAATTTTGTGAAATTCACCAAATTCTATTTTCAATTGAACAAAATATTAGTATAAATTTCGACTAAATAATGTTCCTAAAGTTTCGAACGTTCAAATTAACGACAATATTTTTAGTACTTTGGAATTTTTCTTTAAAAAATTATTTTTGAAATTAAAAACAATTAATTTTCAACTAAGTAAATTTATAATTCACATTATTTTCCATTACAGTAGAAAGAGAAAACATTAGAATCAGTACAGTAGAGTAATTTTTGAAAATATTTGTATAGAAAAAAAATTTCGTTCATTTAAACGTTCAAAATTTAGGTCCCTGAAGTTGGCGTCGACGTTCAGTGTCAAAAACTATTTTTTTTGGGGTTTTAGTGATGAAAATAGGACTAATTTTACTGCTTTCATAAACTTTTCTCTACTACTTTTCTGGTTTAACGGTTTCAACAAAAAATGTTTAAAAAAATTGTTGATTTTTTTTGGCACAGCAGAAGGATAATTATTTTTTTTAACACTTAGCGTCGACACCAACTTCAGGGATCTCAAAATTAAAAAAAAAAAAACTCGAGAGCAGTCAATTTTAGAGGTTGTGAGCATGTTCATATATCATTTCAGTAAATCCGAGGAGAATCGAAACGAAACCCTCGTGCTCGATTTGACTCTTTTTCAAAACAAAGCAAAAAAAAAAAAAAAAAAAAGTGCGGAGGTCTGTTTTTCGCAGATCTTTGTGACTCATCGTGCGAAATCATCTCGTTCCGTCAGGACTCTCATGTCATGTCAGGAAGAGCATTTTACAGACGCCAAACGTGCCGCTCAAGGAAATTTTGTTCTTATTACGTGTTTCAGGTGTCCGAGTGTTCCAAATCAGAAGGTCCATCACTATCGACCTCGCCGGGTTCGGATTTCTTGACATCGCCAGCTCATCGTTCGGTTCCATTGACGTCGAGGCATTTCTCAAGGACATCATCGCGTGCATCGCAAAGCTCACTTCAAAGTCCAATCAAAAGCACCGGTTCCTCACCACCGAAAACTGGCAGCTCAAATTCATTAAATAAATTCCACAATCGACTTGTGGACAAATTAAAAAGATCCCTCAAGAAGGCCGACGACAGTGCCGACGATCAAAGAAATCTCTCGTGAAACAATCAAATGGTTTCGAATCGGTCAACAACAACAATTGTTCCCGGCTCGAAATCAATCGAGATTCGCCGTATCTCGGCACCAACCACCGTTTCCGGTATCAATAGCGGCATTAAAGTTGCACGCTCGTGTCCGGAACCGCCAGCATGGTAGAGGAACCCGCTCCCATCATCCACAAGGAAAGGAAGGTTGAGGAGATGGAAAAAGAGAGAGAGAGAGAGAGAAAAATATGTTACAGATTCTCAGAGAGAACCTCTTTTCTTTATATCCTCCCCCCCAAAAAAGAAAGAAAAGCGTCCCAAGTACGGTTGGCCCTAGCTTCTTTCATTTTTCACCGACGGACTAAATTTCGACTTTCGATGGAAGGCAGAGTTTAAATTCATGTGATATTAGGTCTTAGTGATATTGCATGACCAAGTGATAATGAAACATCAAGTGATACTGAAATAGCATGATGCTGTATACATGCTACCAATGAATCGTATTTTAGTAATCGTGACAGTAAACGACACGATCGACATCATGCTAGAATTATTCGTAATCATGATAACATCACAATACTATGATAGATCAATACTATGATCATTCAATCAAGTTCCCCCCCAGTGGATACGATTATCCAAAAAGAAAATTCACTCTCCCATTTACAAGTAGTCTGAATTGATTCTAACTTGGGTTCTGAACTGATTCTAAATTTGAGTCTGAACTTATTCTAAATTTGAGTCTGAACTGATTCTAATTCGAGTCTGAATTGTTTCTAATTTGAGTCTAAGTTTACAAATAATTTCTCTTCAAGAAACTTAGATTTCTGATTTAGAAAGATAAACAAAGACAAACAAGAAAGATGCAAAAAATGAAGAACAAGGAATGGTAAAGAACAATAAGCAACACAATCATTAAAACCAGTTCAATTTGTAAGGCAAAATCGATCCTGGCTGATCCTTATCCAAATAGCCGGTGCTCTAAAATCGAAAAGACTCAAAATTATTCAGACTAACCCCCAGGCGCTATTCTCTGAGATTCTACATCATCATGGTACTTCCCGAAAGTCACCATTGCAAGTACGATCGAAATTTTGTTGGGCATAAGAAAACCAGAATGTCATGTGCTTAAATTTCGCTTCTGTAAACTTATTTGGTTCTGTAAAAATTGGACCAAAACTTCGAGTGGTGAAAACTATCTGGTTCCAGACGGATTTTGATTCTACGCAAAACGCTTAGTGAATTGTTTCCTGAAAATTTTGGTTCTGTGAAATATCTGGTGACAGAAAATGATGATTCTACACAAAACGTTTAGTGATAGGGGAATTGTTCCTGAAAAGTTGGGTATTTGATACTCCTTGGAGATCTGGTGCAACAAAGTCAGTGACTAGTGAATAACAGTTCCAAAGAATGCTGATCCTGTAAAATCGTGGACCTTCGAAATTTCTGTTCTGTCAAGTAATTGTTGTATTAAATTTGGGTTAAAGTGGATAAAGTTGTGTAGAAAAATTCAGATCCAGTTTGGATGCAATAATTTAGTAACAACTTGGATTCAAAAATTTGGTTACAGTTTGGATTCAAATGGGTATAATTTGGTTACAATTGGGTACAATTCTGTTGCCAATGCCTCCAGTTCGGATACAAAATGGCTGCAAACAATTTGGCTCCAATTAAAAATTGTCGCATTAGATTCAGTATCCTGATACAAATGCTTCCAGTTCAGATACAAATGGCTCAAACAATTTGGCTCCAACTAAAAAATTGACGCATTAGATTTTACCCTACCACATGGTCCAAAGGTACAACAAAACCCATCAATCCACTACGTAAGATAGCAGTTTTAAAGAGAATGAAACCCACATAAAGAATGACATTCTAAAACCACATGAGTCGCAAACCTCAGACCATCGTTCAACCACATTATCAAGAGACATACGAATATTATCCGCAGAAACATCTTCAGTATATCTATAAGTGAGAACAAATGTCAAGAAATACAAAAATACAAATAGAGATAAAAATAAAAATATAAATACAAATACAAAATACATATATTTAAAATCATTTAAAGAATTGAAGATTTGTCAAAATTTTTGATAAAATTCTCTTATCCAGTTTTTTCCAGTGTCAATAGAAAATCATATAAATCTGTTTGTTCTTCAAGAATTATATTAATATTGTTGTTAGTCAACCCTTTTCTACTTCTCCAAAAAAAGTTTTGTGTGAGTGTGCGTGTTCTACTTTTATATAATTTCTACAAAACAAAAATTCATCGAAGGTTCAACGATTTTTGTCAAAAATTATGGACAATTACTTCTCGAATACCTGTGAATTATTTTTTTTTTACATCTGCTAATAACGGAAATTTTTAGCAATATTTTTATTTATTTTTATAATGCAGAATTCAGAATTTTTAGGTGCCGAATTAGTAAGTGCAAAGTTATGGTTATGATAATGGTTCTTTTTAATACTTTGTCACTTCCGTTATTTTCTTTATTTATTTTTATTTATTTTCTTCTTCTTCTTTTCCTTCTCTTTTACCTTCTTTTTTCTTTTTCCCCCATTTTTCCTTTTCTATTTTTCGTCCACTTCTATTTTAATTTTTTTTATGTGGTAATCGAGAAAAAATTGTTCATCTCCACAACAGCGTGTGGCGTGAAAAAAGAAAATGGTCTTTCCACTTGAACAATAATTAAAAAAAAACCTGCCCCAGAAAAGAAATTTTTATGAAAAAATGTGCGCATTTGTCGCGAAGAGAACGTGAAACAAGAAGAGTGAGAGAGAGAGTGGATTTGGCTGGTGATTCTTCTCTTGACTAAAACGAAAGCAACGAGACAAATACGGTATACCAGATTCACTTTGATGGTAATAGTTATGTACCAGCAACCTTGTACCGGTTTAGGCACATCTCGATCTTCACGGTAACTATCAGACTTATAAGCATCAACTATTTTTACTAATGGTTTCTTGCTTTTTAACAAAACAAAAAATTTATTTCTTGACGAGTTTCAAAATTAATCGGAGGAATTTAATTATGACTATTAAAATTATTACGGATTTCGAAATTATCTTACAAAATATTTAGTTTACAAAATTATTTACTCACATCAAAATTAGTTTGCAAAATTAATTACGGATATCGAACTTAGTTACAAAAATTATTTGCGTATATCGAAATTACTTTGAACTAAATTAAAAACCTTAAAAAACGAAACAAAAATTAAGAGTATTTAAGATTCAATTTTTGCTAAATCATCAATTGTTTCACGTTCTCTAGAATATTTAAGAAAAAAAAAACCATTGTTAATTAAATTTTCACCGTTATTTTTGGACAAAAAAGTTGTTTTTTGGAAAGTAACCGAAAACTGAAGTAATACTAAACTAATATTGAATAAATAATATTCGAAGTCGAAAGAAAAATTTCTCTTAGTCACTACAAACCTCGGAGAATGTTCTACTGTATTGTATTAATAAATTTTACCATTTTTCTAAAAAAAAATCCAAAATAAATTCAGTTCTCGATAAAGATTCATCATCTCGATTTGCATACAAAAAAAACATCGAGAGAGATTAGCATTAGGCTTGAAGAGAGAATACCCAATCCATAAAGAGCAGGATTATCAAAATTATCATTCAAAGGAAACTATCCGTCAAATTTCCCTCTTGATTTCCTGTGAAATCACAAGCGCACAAGAAATATAATGCGTGGGAGAGAAATTGATGGAAAATTAATCCTCTTGTGCTAATTTTGCTATATCCATAAAGGAAACGATATTCTCTAATTTACTATTACGGCATATCTTCTACTAAAGTTCGAACTAAGAACAAAAAAAAAATTAATTTCCGAAAATTCAAACGGAAATAATTTTTTGCGCCACTGGATGTCGCTTTTGCCTTTTAATTTTTTTAGCTTTAAGAAAGACAATGAATGTGTGTGTGAGAGAGAGAGAATGAAAATGAAAGAATGCATTTTAGAGCAGACGTTTCAGACGAAAGCCTATAAAATATTATAAATATAAGAAAAATATTTATTGTACAAGAAAAATTAAACGTCGCAGAATTTTTCGTACTTATACTCGTTTTGTTAAATAGATTAAAGAAAAAAATTCGGGCCAGACGATTATACTTACTAAATTTTATCTTCAAAAAGATACGATCAGTATTAAAATATTATTATTTTTAATAGAAAAAAAAATATTCTATATTTATTTTTTGAGTCTAGCTTTAAAAGAAAAAAAGGGGGAAAAAATACTCAAAAAAAAATTGGATTTAAGGGAAATTTGTAGTATTTACCAATAGAAATAAATACACGTATAGAAAAATCGACGATCGTTTTGGCGCGGATTTTTATTTTCACCTCTATTATCCCAAGAGAAAAATTTAAAAATCTGCTCACTATCCAAATAGGCGACATCGTATTTAATTTACCAACCGAAGATTCTCCCGAAATATTTCAATCTTTGGGATATAGAATTTTTCAAAATTCACAACATTTTAATTATAAATTCAATTTTAAAATCAAAATCACAAAATTGAAAAAAATTCAAATTCAAAAGCAAAAAAAAATTAAAAATAGAAAAAAATTGATAAATAAATTGCAAGAGAAAAAATGTTTATCTTCATAGGGGATTTATTTTAAAAAAATAAATAAACAAAGAGAATCTTCGAGTTGGAAAATAAGTCACGTTCACGTTCATATAATAAAAATAGCGAATTAAGAGAAAGAATAACAGAAAAAAAAAATTGATTAGACACTCTCCAATGTTTTCTGATTGTAAGTATATTTCCAAAAGCAGCTGGGCTGCTAATGTAAAGACACCCCTTAATGAAAATGCAAGAAAATAATTTTTCTTTTCAACGGCAAATCCGAAAACAAAAATTTCTCTATTTTGTGTACTATATAAATTTATATAATATATTTCTTTTTTTCAAAGCGCAATTGTAAAAAAAAAAAATTTGGCGAAATGACATAAAAAAAAAGAAAACGATACTCTGTGATACCGTAAGTTATAAGGTAGAATTATTTCTACGAAAACAAAAAAAAAATGGTTATAGATATATTTTTGCAAAATGACGAGCGAAAGTTACGATAAAAATTAAATTATTAAAAGAAAACAAAAATGGTGATTATTTTTGAAAAAATTTTCTTGCAGGAAAAAAATTGCAATCATTTTCCGATGTTAATGAAGAAATAGTTTTGATAATAAAATAATAATTATAATTATTAATATTGTAATTATAATTATAAATTTATAATTATTATAATTAAAATTTATAATTATTTACAATTAAAATAATAATCCACAATTTCGAGATACATTTAATTTATCTCAATTTTTTATTATCGCAACATTCGTTCGGCGTTCGGCATAAACAACGAAGCGGTTCTCTGATGTAAGATTAGTGTATACAGTAGAAACAATTAATCTATTGTCAGCAAGGATTTGCATTTTTACAAGGGTGAAAATTGAATGTAAATAGTTCCAAAAATAATTATTCTTGGCTTCAATAATAATAATAATAATAATGATCAGTAAATATTTAATTTAAAATTCAATAATTAGTTTAAAAGTTAATGTATAATTTTTCTACTTTCTAATTTCCTCAAAAAAATATTTTTCCTAAAATATTGAACGTTTGAATTATTGAAATTTTTTTATTTAAATATTTTCTAAAATTACTACAATAAACTGCAAAATAAAATAAATATTGACACTAAAAAAAATTAATTTTTCTGATATAAATTAACAATTATTTTTTTTCAAATTAACAATCTGTTATCAAATAAAAAAATATTTATTTGCCTTAGGTAAATAATTTCTATTTAAGTCAATTTAAACGTTCGAAAATTTAAACTTCAGAGAAAAATTAATAAAGAAAATTTTTGGAAAAATGTATTTTGTGGAAAAATAATTATAAGAAGAATTAATTATTGAAAAAATACGGAAAAAAAACATTTAATTATGGAAAAAACTATAGAAAAAGTATTTCATAAATTTGGAAAGAAATATTTTTAAAATATAGAAAGAACTATATCAAAAAAATATAAAAAATAAGGAAAAAACAAAAAAAAATAGAAGAAAAATTATTGAAGCGAGAAATAATTGTTTTTCGGATAATAGGAGAGAGAAAACATCGGAATATAAAATACAAATGGCGCGTGGACGTGTCGTGGAAAAATGAAGATTATATTTCCAAGTTGCCGCTTTTAAAGACTGCTTTAAACGAATAAAAAAAAATTATTCTAGCCAGTTGAATGTTAAAAAAAAAAAAAAAAACGTGGTGCTGAACGAGATTTTTTCGGGACCAGATTTATTTAACCGTTTTAAAGATACAGTATTTAAAAATTGTTGTCGAAAAAAAAATATATGAAAAATATCTTTAATTCGGTTTAATCGATCCCGCGAGTCTCGTCGAATAATTTGTACTGATTTGAATAAGCGGTGTTACTAGAGTTAGTGAGAGATTTAAAAAAAAAAGATACGACCTATTTATTATCGACTCCATTCGAGGGACTGTACAACAAAAAAAGGAGACTAATGTTGTTCAATAGAAATTTTTATTCAAAATGTTTGGAAAAAAAATACTCAATAGAAAAAGAAAAATAAATTCTAAAAAAATATTCAATATTCAGTTATAGTTTCAAAAAAACTATTCACTACAAAAAAATTTAATTCCGAATGAATATTTATTGTGAAAAAAAATTAGTTAAAGAAATTATTCACTACAAAAAAAAATTCAAAAATAATATTTCATACAAAAAGAAAATTAGTTTAAAAAAAATATTCACTACAAAGAAATTAAATTCAAAAAGAATATTCATTGCAAAACGAAAATTTGTTTAAAAGAAAATATTCACTATAAAAAAATTAAAATAAAACAGAATGTTCATTTTGAAAAGAAAATTAGTTTAAAAATATATTTACTATACAAAAAAAAATTAAATTTAAAAAGAATATTTAAAAAAAAAATTATTTTTAAAAAATATTCACTATAAAAAAATTAAATTCAAAAAAATATTCAATACAAAAAGAACATTTAATTAAAAATGAATTCATAATTAATTGATAGTAAATAATAGAAAAAATGTTTAAAAAAACTTATAAATAAATAAAAAAATTGAAAACAAAATTTTCCTCAGAATTAGTCTCCTCGAAATGTTTTGTCCCCGGTATGTGTGTGTGATTCGCTTTAATTTATTTGAGATATTTTTTCTATTTTACAATTCGTGATTACCTCTCTCGGGAAATTTTGAGCTGATTTTTGGAGCATGGCTGAAGAGAAACGAAAAGGCACATTTTTTTGTTCATTTCGAAAAACAATAAGAAAAAAAAAATTCGAAACACAAAAAAGTTTCAATTTTTTTCCTCACATTTTTATTTTTACTTCAAAACTATATTTCTCATTTTTCTCTCGAATAAAAAAAAAGAGTTTAGAAAAAAAATCGGCCAGTGAGTTTTCTCCTCATCCATGGCAATTGAATGTCACTGCCAAAATCCCAGGAAAATAATGTTGTAAAACAGCGGAATTTGAAACAAAATGAAAATTGATAAATAGATGTTATTAAAGTAGTTTCAAATTTCGCTTAATCCACTTTTTAATTCTTAGTTATTTATTTTTTCGACAATATTATATATATATTGTAGATTATATATAGAAGTATTTTTGTTACTAAAACTTTTCCCATCTCATTTTTCTCGATTTTCACAAAAAATTAGGAACAATTTCTCTTCTGGAACATTTTATACTTTAGTTTTGAAAAAAAATGTTTGAAAATCATTATATCAAAGGGAATGTGAAGAGCAAAAAATTTCAATTTCTACTTTTGATATTTTCGTTATTTAAAAAGGAGTTTATTTTTAGAAAATAAAAGAGGACTTTGTTAATTGAGATAATTACGCTTTTAATTAAAAGTAAATTTTTCAATTTAAAAAATTAATTTTCATTTCAGATAATTTTCTTTTGCTTTGTGTTCTATTTTTAAAATGGAAATGAAAAAATGAAAATAAAAAAATTAAAGTAAAAAAATTAAAATAAAGAAATTGAAATAAAAAAATAGAAATAAAAAAAATGAAAAATAAAAAAAAATATAAATAATAAAAAATTGGAAACAAAAAGTAGAAACAAAAATAAAATCGTTAAAAAATAGAAACAATAAAAAATAGAAACAATGAATAATAAAAATAATAAAAAATACAAATAAAAAACAGAAATAATAAAAGAACAGAAATGATAAAAAAAATGAAAAAGAATAGAAAATTGAAAAAAAATTACAAAAATTACGTTTGGTTGTATATTTTATTATAAAATCTGTAAAAATACAAATACAAATACGTATATTTTTTTCAAAAAAAAAAAAAAGAAAAAAATCGAGAGAATGAGATGAGTGAGGTGCACATTCCATTTGTAGAATAAATCTGTTAGCGTTTGATAAAAAAAAATGCACATGAGATGTACACGAGAAATAATAAACAAAACAATAATATATCTATAGTGTTTTTAAAGCTTGCCTCGGTTCATCACTATTATGTATCATGATGATTTTTATGTCAGGTTCAATAAATGAGTTATGATCTTTACGTAATATTTGTCTTTTATTATATTCACCAAAGCCAACTTCCTGATTATTATCATTTCCTTATAGTTCTTTAAGAATTTTTATCTCACTATATGAATTTAATTTCCTGTTGTACGAAATAATTTAAATCATCTCTCTTTTCAATATAATTTTCTTATAAAAAAAAAAAAATAAAAATCAATAATCAAAACAAATTTAAAAATAAAATTGTACATTTTTAAAATTAATGTGGAAAGAAATTTTATCAATATTTACAGACATTATAATTATTAATTTTTATATATGATTATTTTAAAATATAAAATGTATGCATTGTTACTTAATTGTTAAAATAAAAATTTCCAAAACGATTTTTTTGTTGTCTAAGTGTCTAATTGTCGAAATAAAAATTTTAAAATCGTATTTTTGTATGTAATTATGAAAATTAAAATTTTTGATCTTTTTTTTAAACAATAAATTTTCCATTTTGAATTAAATATTTATTATAAATAAAAAAAAAATTTTCAAAAATTTAATTAGATTTTAATTAGATTTTAATTAGATTTAATTAGATTTAGACACAATAAGTGTTATTAGTAACTTATTTATAAAAAATAGTAAGAAGAAAAAAATATAAAAAATATGACATAGAAAAATTATTATTTTTAATAGTATCAAAATTAGAATAGAAGAAAATAAAGTAATAAATATTTTCAAGTATTAAATAATAGTTGATTTTAATATTATTTCTTTTTTTTATTAATTTCGAAAGTATATTAAAAGTTTTTCTTTCAAATATTAATTATAGTTCATAAATGCAATAAGCGTCTTTACTCTCGAATTTATAGAATAGAATAGAGACTAAAAATAGACCAATGAAATGAAAGAGAGACTCATGTGGGCGTTGCTATAATCAGATAACAAATTCGAGCGTAAAGTCAATTATTGCATCCTCAATTTTATTACTCTTTTAATTTCATTTTTACTCAATTCAATTACAAAAAAATATTTTTTCAAAAATTCTCGACAAATATTTCCTCTATTTTCTATATATTAATTCAATTAAGAATTTCAAACTTATTTTTAATTAATCCGTACATTTTTTTTAAATTTTCTTCCTTTCAATTATTCTTTTGTTTTCCATTTCTTTATTGAGTCATTTATTTATTGCATATTTTATTTCATTATGAATAATTAAAAAAGAAATTTCCCTCAATAGACATATTCACTAATTTTCTTACTTCAATTCAATTAAATATTAATTCGTAATTTTCAAATTTCCTTATTTTTTCATTATTTTTTATAATTTTCAATAATTAATTTAAAAAAAAAAATATTCACTATATTTTTATAACTATTTTCAGTATTTTTCGCCAGAATTTTCTATACCTTCGAATTACTTTATAGAATAATACGTAATTAAGTACCTACAAAAAAAATTAGAACAATTTCCAAGTTATTTCTACAAATGTTACATACGCATAAAGAATGTAATTATTATTAAAATAAATTACAGAGAAGAATTACGATTAAAAGCAAACGTATATTTGAAAAATTTCTCCAGTTGAAAGTAGTTCAATTAATAATGCAATTACTATTTGTATTGCACTTATTTGTCTGTAGTTTGTTCAACTATTTCGATTTCGGAATTTTGCAATTTTTATTTATTTTATTGATATTAATTATTATAGTTAAAATTTTTTATAATTTAGTTATATTCACTAATTTATTATTACTATAATTGATATTGTAATAAATAATAATGATAATAATAATAATAATAGAAATTAAAAGTCAAATTATTTTTTAATTTATTTCCTTTTTTTTAAGTAACTCAAACGTAATCTGACAAACAATGTACGTAAAATTAATTTATTATAAAATCTCTTGAAAAAATTCCATTGGAATAATGAATTGTCTCGTGAAGATCAATATTCAGAAAAATTATTATTCAAATATAT